AAACTGAAAGTTTTCTTCCTGTATATTTTCATGACCATTATATTACAAATTTTCATGTATTTAAGATTCACGTTCTCAATTTATCCACAACATAAATCTGTTTTGTAAAGCATGCAACTTGTAAATTGTCTGATCCCCTATAGTTACTGTGTATATCTCAATGTTTTCACTCAACATTTAAACGTTTTTTCACCAGACATTACACTAAATGTGTTATATGAATTAAGTTTAATGAACCTGATAAAGAAGACAATGATGAACCAGACAGAAATGTTAATGATGATGAATTAATTGGCTCATTTTCTGCTCATTAAATCAAAACTTGAACATTGTATTTGTCTCATTAAAATCCAATATTTCTTTCAATTAAATTAAAATCAAACATTAAAAAATGATTGAGATCATCAACCGATTGACTAGCGTTAGTGACTAGCTTCGTGGAGGAAGTCTCGGAGTTGTAGTGAGAAACTGTGACCACTGTAGCTAATCCATGTCAGATAGAGACAGATATTTACGTTAGTACAGTAGAAGGTGGTCGCGCAATTTTGTGGATTAATTGAGGTTAGACATTGACACTGGTGGATGCCGTCTCAGTTGTCTAGAGGTTAAGCGTTCGCACGCGAGCTTCAATTACTTGAGCTCGAATCCTAGGAGCAGGATTGTGGATGCGCACTACTATGGAGTCCTATAATAGGATGAACTGGCCGTTTAGTGCTTCCCGGTATACAGTGGTGGTCTAACATCAGTCGGTTCATGATCTCAATCAAAAACTTATTAATCTCCACAACCCAATATTCATTAGAAAATGAAACAGAATTATATCATTTGGAAGTAATAATAAACCTTAAAGACAAATAAATTAACCCGTTAGCACATTCATGTTATAGTCTCTCACTTTTATAGTCTATCACTTGTAAATTTTCTAGTCATTCTACTTGTAAGATATGTGAGTGAATATTCATATCGGAAAGTAAAACCTTTATAAGAATAATGCATAAATGATTATCTAGTTCTTTGCATAACAAATGTTATATAAACTACATAAAATATTCACATTCCTATAATCATTTACGTTATACTAGGTTATTTAAATGTTCTAACGTTTACCAATTTTGACTATTTATTCTCTGAAGAAGTAGCCTACTCTGAGTCACGAAACATCGGAAAATCTAATTTTTTCTACTTAATGCGGTTATTATAAACATATTAATTTAATTATACTTGTAGACGTTTGTTTGTTTCCTGAAAATAACAAACAATGATATTTATTAAATTCACTTGGGTCTTCCGATTGTTATTTAAAACTGTAATTGATTAGTCTCATATTGGCAATATGTGCATCTTGTGCCGACTGCCGCGATATTGCCTTAGATCACAAGCTTAATAATGACATCATAATATTTATTATTACAGGCTTATTAAGTTTTAATATACTGGTAAATTTTTCAAATCATAAATATTTACATGTACAAATATAAAGCTTATCAGTCAAAGATTTAAATTATGCTGAAAGTATAATTTATAGACGACATTTGAGCGACGCTAAATTCACGTTGACAGTGGACACCTACTGATTAGGACTGAATGAGGGTTATAGAGCAATTAGAATTATGATTTACAGTTGATGATCAGGGTTAAAAATTAGACATAGGGTTTCCATCACTAACTGACATCAGCTATAATGCCAAAACTCTACTTAGACAAATGGATGGACGAATTTCGCGCCAACATTCGTTACTCGTTAGCTTATATTTGATTGGTTTGTCCATAAATTATAGTCTCGCCTAAATTGCTATTAAACTTGAAAAACATTTTCTATTAAAACATTGAACTGGAAGGTAAGATAATAAATTCTTGGGTGAATAATCGAATTCCTACAGGAATTATAGTGTTGTTAAATGAGTGGAACACAAACGAATAATAAATAAAGTGAACATGTTTTTTATTGGAAAGTTGTTATTAGCAGATTTCGGAACATATATATTTAATGATAAACAACCTTATCATGAAGGTAAACAATGATCATAATGATATATCGCTAAAATCTTAAATTACCCATATTTTCATAATCGGTTGGCGTTTTTTAGCAAGATTTTTCTCTATCTGTAATTCTTCTAGGGATACCGCCAGTTCCAAGCCTGGGTAAATGAGGAGGTTGTTTGGCATGGAAATCGACAACCCCATCTCGTAGAGAAACATCTTGCTAGAAAACGCCAATATTTTTATAATTACTTTTTGTGATAAACGAATATACGTTTTATAGCATTTTATCCAAAAGTCAATAGTTTATTTCAATAACAATAATAAGTAATTATTTTGTTAATTGATCCTAATATAATTAATGGTATTAGGCTATATGAATAAAGCAATAATTTGCTGATTAATTTCACATGGAACAGTTAATTATTTGGCATTCATTTATAGAACGGATACATATGATTGTAATGAGATTAATTGTAAATCACAAGTGAATACAATCGCTAATTCATAGTATGAAATAATATAGAAAGCATTTTTACTGAAGCCCAAGGTACTGGAAACTACATTCATTTAAGTTTATTTTTAAAGTATAATTTAAACACCGTTGAATGCCGGCTAGCTCAGTGATCTGGTGGTTAAGTGTTGGCGCGAGAGACTGATAGGTCCTGGGTTTGAAGCTTGCGAGGGGGGATCGTGGATGAGTTCTCCTGAGGAGTCCCACATTAAGATGAAACGACCGTGCAGTGCTTCCAGGTTCGCCATTGTGGTCTAGCATGAACTGACTCATAATCCCGACCATTATAATTTAAACATAGAAAAATGTGAACCGACGAAACATAGTTTATTCGTAGAGGAAAACGAAAGCTTATTCATCAAGTGTGATCTGATTGCTGCATGCCGTGTTGTATTGGAGAATCTTGCTTTTCCTTTTGTGTATATTGAGATCTACTGCTGCTGAGGGTGCTGCTACACTATCCGTCTTTTCCTGCCTTTGTTGTTGCATGTGCGATAGAAGAGCCAGATGATCTGCGAAGTCTAGATCTTCCAGCTACATCCAGGCTGTCCACTGTATCCCGTGCTTCGCCCCAGATTTTGACGTCTTCATGATCCAGTCGTTCGCCAGAAGAAAGAGAAAACGGTGAGAGTTAGCAACCTTGCCTTACACCGGTCTTCACTTCGAAAGAGTCTGTGACCTGTCTTCTATGCACGATTTTGCAGTTTAATCCATCATAGGAATTCCGTATGATATTGACTATTTTCTCAGGTATGCCATAGTATCGAAGAAGCTTCCATAGTGTTGTCCTGTCCACACTGTCAAATGCTTCCTCGTAGTCGATGAAGTTGATGTAGAGTAGTGCACTTCATTCAACTGACTGTTCCACAATCACCCGTAGTGTTGCGATTTGGTCTGCTTCAGGTGGAGGTATGTTTATATGTAACACAATATTAAGTTAATTGAACTTGACCAAAATGATTTGAAATCGACTGGAACTAATGTTTTGAAAACTTTGAATATATAATTGGGTAATACCAAGTAGATGTTTGCTTTGAAGACTCAGTTATATTCAATTAAATTACTAGTATATTATAACAGTTGATTGTCATGGTAGGTTCCTTTTTTGTTGTTGATATAAATCAAATTATCGAACAGTTTTATATTCTTTAGTAATGACTTCCTTTAATGGCTAGAATTATTTTACTGAAAGAACTAAACTAATTTTTTTAGCATCACAAAATTGTTGAAATTCACTGAAAAATCACTTGCATGTCATAATTATTAACTTATATAACTATTCACTAATCAATTTTATTTAAAAGCAAAAATAAATCGAAAAAATCTAACAACTAACAGATGATCAGAAGGGGTTTTGTGGAGATTTTAGAAATTTCACTGGTTGAAACCATGAGTCAATTGAAACTAGACCCCCATGAAAAGCGGGAAGCACTGGACGACCGTTTCGTCCTAGTATGGGACTCCTCAGCAGTGCTCACCTAGCGCTTCCAGGTTTTCCAATAGTGGTCTAGCTTCAATTGACTCATGATTTCAACTAGTGTAACTAAGAGATTGTGAAGTAACTAAGATGCTTGTTCTTGAAACCTTATCCCTTACTTCATAGATGTAGGAAAGATACACGTAACAAGAAAACAATCGTTTAACCGTTGTATATCTGGTTTATCATGACAACTCAAATAAATGAAATAGAGAATAAATCCAGTCCTTTGACACTTTCTTCTTTTACTGGGTTTTTTTGAACTTCAGAAGATTCGATTGTAGATTTAGTGCATATCTACCCCTCTATTTAGAAAAACATAAGTAATAACTTCTAAATGAAGTGAGCCCATCCTATTATTGTCATCATTTTTTTGATTCAAAAGTATTGCAGTCCATTTAAATCAATTTGTATTTAAAGGGGGGGGCATCAAACTTGGTAAACAGCAAACAGCTATACTGCTATCAAGTCCTAATTCAATTTTTATATTTTGAAATTACAGTTTACTTCCCCGAATGCTTAAAAATTATTGAAATTTATTAATGAAAACTCATTTGCTTTCGGACTAGATTTTATTTTACAGTTATGATCAAATTGGACTGTTTAGTGATCACTTTGAATGAGAGAAAATGTCCAACTTCTAACTTCTGTCGTATTTCAAACAAACTTGATGCTGTTGTTTGAGAATTTACTTTTTTTTTAAGTTCAAACTTATGTTAATACTTGCTGAAGGACTGTCAAACTTTATACACAGCTAATATATTCCAAATGAAAATTTGGTTTAACAAGTGAACAAAAAGAATTGTAACTATCAGAATAAATACATTTAGAAAAGGTGGCTTTCAGCTCTTTGGACCCATTGTAAACTACTCGTCATTTGATTCAAATCTTATGTATCACACACAACAAAATAGTTAATAACCAGAGCTAAATTATTTCTGACTGTTTGCCAGATTTCAATATTGATTACCAAACAAACTATTTTTTAATAAAAACTATGTACATTTTTCTTTTTCTCTGAAACACTAGGAAAGAGTCATGGCAAGTCAGTTAACTGGTGCAAGACTGCTCTTACACCCTGGTGCTTCTTATCCTCGTGTAGCTGAAGAAGGTGTAAATTTAATGCCAGGGACAATGACTGATATACGATTTACAGTATATGAATGGTCTATGATGGAACCACCTCATGGTAGATGCAGTAAAAATACACCACAGTTTATATCATTTAATAATGTTAACTATACTTTTAGCGAAGAAGCATGTCATGCACATATGGTGCAAGAAAAAGTCGCTTCAAATTGTCAATGTTTAACTCAACATTTACCAATTCCAACGCATTTACTTGGAAAAGATTTAAGAAAATGTCAAGCATTCAAACTTCCAGCAACTTATCAAATGTTAGATAACTTTAACGAATCCAAACAGTTATATTTTAATGATGAAGCAGTTTCCACTTATGCTCGATTTGCAGAGTGTGCAGAAAAAACTGGAACAGCTATGGATAGTTATCAAATAGGCTGTAGACCAGCCTGTGTTCGATACACATACAAACCGAGCATAACAGCTGCTCAATGGCCAACCAAAACATTTCTAACATGGTTTGTTACAAAAGTAAGTTTCGGATAGTCAGTAAATCAAGCTTATTGTTATCATCTAATAATATATGATCAAAAATGCTTCTTCCGTTACATAAGAAGTCTGTTTGTCTAATAAATCTTAACTCTAATTACTACTGTCAATAAAAATGGGTCTATTAGTAAATGTTACTTGCTGATTTACCACCTACAATTAAAGATACAGATACAGTTTTAATTCATTAACCCTATCCCAAAATCAATTGTGTAATTATAAGTAATTGTGTAGTGCATTTGTTTAGGTGTAAAATAACTCATATGCGCGCAAATTAGTTACAGAAGAAAACCATAGTATTTAAAGATAAGGAAAACTGAAATGCGTCTTTGATTACATAAATTACCACTTTTTTCCTAGAATCTTATTTTCCTTAACAAATAACACAGGTAATTTCGTTAGATTATAGATTAGTAATGATAACCCAAAGCAGCTGAAATTAAAATATTTCTTTACTTAGACATACTTTAATTGGCAGTTGTCTTCATACAATATTTATATTGAATCGGTTTTTTTCTTGGTTGTAAATGTTGTAGTATTTATGAAATAATTAGAATTTATTGTAAGTGTCAAGACTTATAAATAAGTTTCACCTCTGATTCTTGGTAGATCAAATAATTCACAATATTCATATTATCATTATAAGGATTTGGACATAATTGAGCTTTACTGAAATCATGAACCGACCAATGTTGGGCTACCATTGTAAACCTGAAAGCACTGCACGGCCGTTTCGTATCAGCATGGGGCTCCTCAATAGCGCGCGTAGACCACCTCTTATGCTGGAATCGAACTTAAGACTTTCGACCTCGTTTGTGAATCCTAAAACTCTGGAACAAAGATGTTAACATTTAATTAATGTCAATTCATGATATAATGCGGCCATCTTCTATTGTCTTTGGTGAGTAACTGCCTTAAAACAGACACGGTTGAATTCCACTGGTCACGGTTTTTCACTAGAACTCCAGAAAATACATCTTGCAACCAGTCACTACTGAGGACAAGATTATTGTCAGAATAGAGATTTTGTGGAGATTCTAGTAATTTAATAGTTGAATTCATGAACAGATTTAAACTAGATCACCACTGAAAACCTAGAAGCACTAGACGGCTGTTTCATGCTATTATGGGACTCCTCGTCAGCGCGCATCCACGATACCGTACGTAGGACTCGAATCCAGAACATTCGGTTTAACCTGTAGATCTGTAGGCCGAAGGTCTTATGTTTGAGTTTCGTGTGCGGGATCGTGGATGCGCACTCCTGAAAACTCCCATAACAGGACGAATCGGCCGTCTAGTGCTTCTAGGTTTTTAGTGGTTATCTAGCTTATATCAACTCATGAATTCAACTATTAATTCAAATAGTTTAAAATTTGAACGCTTCAGTAAACTGGACTGTCTACGAAAATATTTTAGTTATTTATGTGGTAAATCAAACAATTTATACAATCAGTATTTAGATATCGCAAACAAGGAATCCATAGAATAGATCTTACAACTAATCGATATATATATTGTTATTTCATGAGGAAACGTGAACATAGAATAACCAGCGTAATATGATAATAATTAGGATCATGCAATGTCTACAGAATATATGTAACTGAAGATGAAATATAAAGCTGATACGCTAAAAATGATTCATATTTTGGACAAGATAAGCTAATTAGAATAAATGTTATTTTGATTTGCTAATAACCGATTATTATTATTAGAGAAGAATCAGCAAAGTAACAACGAAAGCCATCAAATGATAAAAAAAATCAAAGGTCAGAAGAAAGAATAAAATTTTTCAGGTAGAAACACTTTTAATTTCATTAATTGTAAAGAAAGCATTGCGTATTATAAAATAATCATTCGATTTTCTAGAGCTTAACAACGTTATTTCTATTTTCGAGAGTAGATTAAAATGTTTTAGAAAACCTTTCAGGGAAAAATACAGATTATGTGTACAATCAATTTAATATTACTAAAGAAAATATTTTTACAGTTATCTGTGAAGTTAATCTGAGGATTCAAAAGAAATATATCTATATTTTCGCAGTATCATACAATTAATCATTTTCATGTGTATTATGAATTATAGTTTTAATCATTTTCTGAACGCAATATTTGATTGTTGAAACAAAAGTATGTAACACTAATTGATAGATGATATCCAGTAATACGTAATATGTTTGAATGATAACTTCTCACGAAGATAAATTATTGACTAATCCCTTCATCTTCGATGATTTGGAGTTAAAGACAAATGCACGAACTGAAAGAATAGGTACCTTTATGCATTAAACTGACAGAATTATACACAAAATAATAATAGAAAAATTAACATGATCAATCGATATGGGCAGTTAAGGGAAATCAGTTTGTACGTCACTAACTCTCCATGTAATCAAAGCCAGATTATTCGGCTCAATTATCAATTGTAGTAGTATTCATTATAAAAGTAGCTTTAGGAAATCGTAGTGAGACTATAATTTATAGAAGACCTTTGAGCGACTCTAGGGTGACGTTGAAAGTGTCCACCTAATAACTAGGACCAAATGAGGGTTATGAACCAATGTGAGTGATTAGAATTATGATTTACAGTTGATGGTTAAGGTTAAGAATTAGACTTAGGGTTTTCACCACGAACTGACAACAGTTATAATCCCAAAACTCTATTTAGCCAAATGGATGAGTGATATTCGCGCCAAAATCCGAGACTTGTTGTTGTATACCTGATTGGTTCGTCCATAAGTTATAGTCTCGCCGAAGTTGTAAAATAACTGAGATTAACTGAATAAATGTTACTCAAAGAAATCATTTCATTCTTAAATTGTGTTGACTGTTTATATACTGATAAAACTTTAAATAAATGACTATTAAATAGTAAAATGATAAATCACTTGTTAAAACTGTTGGGGACGATAGATCCCCAAACTCATATTTTGAATTTTATCGCATCGTTCAACTTATTGATTAAACGTTTAAATATTTGTATTGGAGTCAATTGATGAACTATCGATTAAATGCGCAAATAGGTCAATTAATGAACTCATTGATTAATGTTTAAAATTTCCTATGACAATATCGATTGTAAATAATTGTATAAATACGCTTGACTTGTATGCTTGATCTGATCTGCCTGCCTGACTTGTTATCTGCTGTTTGTCTGTAGAATACACTTTCTACACCTTACCCAGACTTCTTGATCGAGTTAGCTGAGTCGGGGACAACGAACCAGAATAGTCTATCGAGATTCTGAATCCTTGATCCGATCGATAAGTCACTGTCATATAATCGGCTGCTTCTTTGAGCCATAACAATTGGCGACGGGGTAAAAAAAAAGAACAATCCAAAGTCAGCCTTCAGCATCCAGATTTGTCATCAGTGTCATTCAGAAACATTGGTCATTAATCAAACAGTAATTTACATTACCGGTGCTGAATAAAAAAAATGACTCTCCCTTCCGATCGAGTACAGCTGCTATTTGAAAGACAGTTGGAGTTTTTAGTCAAATTACGCACACAGCTGTTAAATCACTCATGCTTTGGAGATGCAACGGAAGTGGATGGATTGATCTCTCAACTGCACACAGAGCTGAAAAATGCTTGCAGCCCCAATGAATCCCCGATAAACCGTATCTCAAACGGTACAACAGTCACTCAAGATTCGCCCAGTGGTCCAGTCCTCTCCATTCCAGAAACATGCCCGGTAATGGACTCAAACTCCATTATCCCCAAAACAGCATGTGCAGACGGTGACTTATCCAGCTCACAAACACACTCCCTGGTAAATACTCATAGAATTGTCGCAATAACCACCCATGAAACAAAAAACAAATCGAGCAGTACACTGAATACAACTGCTTCAAATGGTTCTCATCAGTCTGCGACAGATGTTTTTGACAAATCTTATTATCAAGATTCTCTCTTACCAGAAAATATGTCAGATGCATCAAATGATGATCAAAAACTTAATACAATTTTGATAGATGCTAATTACCTTGATGATCGATTATCTACAAATAAGATTCCAAATAAATTTGGTCACAATATTTCAGAAGAATTAAACTTCGAACACCTCACATCAAGTGTTGTTCAGCCTCAAGACTTAGTCACTTTCAGTCAATTCTCTGTTCAGTGCGATAAATATGTCTTAAATAAATTCAAGTTAATTATAACGTGGGCATATGAGGATCCAACACTGTTTCGTGGAGGAGGATGGACCTGGAAAACTTAAAATCCGGATATCAACTCCGGATCTTCTAAAAAGGGGAGGAGTGTTGGGGACGATAGATCCCCAAACTCATATTTTGAATTTTATCGCATCGTTCAACTTATTGATTAAACGTTTAAATATTTGTATTGGAGTCAATTGATGAACTATCGATTAAATGCGCAAATAGGTCAATTAATGAACTCATTGATTAATGTTTAAAATTTCCTATGACAATATCGATTGTAAATAATTGTATAAATACGCTTGACTTGTATGCTTGATCTGATCTGCCTGCCTGACTTGTTATCTGCTGTTTGTCTGTAGAATACACTTTCTACACCTTACCCAGACTTCTTGATCGAGTTAGCTGAGTCGGGGACAACGAACCAGAATAGCTATCGAGTCGCTGAATCATTGATCCTTCGTTCGTTCGAGTAAGACGCATCAGTAATAGCATTCAAGCAAATAACGAAACATAACAAAAACAAAGTCCCTACTGATGTACAATATGGTCAACATGAATTAAACTTAGAAAATAGATAACTTTAAACAAAGATTGATTTTTAACTAACATGTTACCCTTCAATAATCTTCAATACGAACGTCAAGTCAGTTCTACTGTACGGAGCTGAAACTTGGAGAACTACAACAACCACAATCAAGAAGGCACAAGTGTTTATAAATGGTTGTCTACGCAAGATACACAACATCCATTGGCCGGATATCATCAGCAACAGCCTTTTGTGGGAGAGAACAAACCAGTTCCCAAATGAAGAAGAAATTAGGAAAAGACGATGGAAATGGATAGGACATACATTACGTAAATCATCAAACTGCATCACGAGGCAAGCCCTAACTTGGAATCCTGAAGGGAAGCGGAAAAGAGGAAGGCCAAAGAACACATTACGTCGGGAAATAGAAATAGATATGAAAAGGATGAATAACAACTGGAAGGAGCTGAAAAGGATTTCCCAGGACAGGGTTGGATGAGGAATGCTGGTGAGCGGCCTATGCTCCTTCAAGAGGAGTAACAGACGTAAGTATGTAAGTAAGTAATGTTACCTAAAAATCATGTTTGTTTGTTTGTTTATATTATATAATCAGATTACTCTAAATATAATTCATTGAATTTTCTTTTATAGTTTATAAAAGAAATGGAAGCATCCGGTTATTCACGTTTAAAATCAACAAATAATGAAACATTAACTATATTTAATGAACGTATGGAAGAAATTCGTACACCATTACAACCTTATGAAATAATTTCTAATTTAACTAAACAAGGTCATTTACAAGAAGCAATTAAAATGCTTATGAATACACAAATATTTGAACAAAATTTTTTATCTATTATAATATCACGACCAAATTTTGATTTAGAACGTGTTGAAGAAAAAGCTGTTGTATCATTAACTTCATTATTTAGTCAAATTGGTGGTTTATTAAGTATATGGATTGGATTAACATTTGTATGTATTGTTGAATTAGTTGAATTAGGTTTAAATGTAGCTGATGCTGTAATTCATTATAAAAAATTAAAATCATAAATTTATTCTTATTATTCAATGTATTTCAATGATTAAAAATTGGATCATTTCAATGTTCAATTTATGTAAGAATACAAACAAAAATGATTATAATCTATGTCTTTCTTATAGGGAAGATAATATGAACAATATGAGCAATTCATATAATATAAACATATATATTTGTTATTTTGAATTAGTTTTTAAATAACTTTAAGTAATTTATTTTGATTATAATACACAAGTTATCAATGTAAACTTTATTATTATAAAAATAAAGTTGATAATGAATGGATGAATGAATGAATGAAATCATCGAACCCAGATTCTTATAAATTAATCAAGAAATAGATGAAGAATATATAGAGTTGACTTTCACTTTAATTTTCTATTCAATTATTTTGTTTTGTTTGACGTTTTACGATTATAATAAAATACAAGCATAAAGAATAAAAGTGTTCACAAATGTAGAGTTTAATGATATTACTATGTTCTATTCTATTCTTAGTTGTTAATATCTTATCTGTTAATATACTGTCTATAGTTGAGAATTTAAGAGTATTGAATAACTGTTTTAATGGATGTTCAGTATATTAGATTGATTTGTGTTTGAAAATATCTCTTGCACATTCATAACCTGTTGTGACTTTAAGGTCGGCTAGTTATCACTTGATTTATTCGCTAATCGAAATACGACTTATCTAATCTTAGTACTATATCAAACCAATGACGTTTGATCGGTATGAGCAGCCTAGCATCCTTATTGATCTTTTGTTCGCCTAGCCCGTCCATTTGAGTCTAGAACATCAATAACAGATCTCACTATGGGAATCATTTATTTCAAACATACTTGGTTTATATACCAGCCAAACAGACCGCATCACACCATAAAATAGGTAATAATATTTATGCAAGATCAAACCAGAAAGTGGCCGTGAACGTGGGAGACTGTAGTCAACAAACTGAATATAACTTGAGAATAGTAAACCGTACAATGATAATCCATAGGTCAAAATGAAGCTTATAATAAAATGAATATAGACATACATAATCAAGTTACTGAAGAGTTATACAATAGGAATATTTATATAATATTAGCCCATTAATAGTTCTCAGAAGTTACTCATAGAATATAACATAAGGCATTAGAATAATGATTACAAATGTATTAAAGTTCATTGACACAGAATGGATTAACTGTTGCTGCTGCTGTGAAATAGTTTGACAACTAGATTTTATTTATATCAGTAAAATATTAAAAAAAGAGACTTAAGAAGCGTTGAAACACTTTCTAAAATCATTTTTAATTTATCATTTCAGATTTTTGTTATGAGACTTAACCATAAATCATGTATCAACATCATTTCAGTAGCCCACTTTCGAGTTTAGCCGTCAGATGTTTCACAATAATTCACTCGTTGAAAAGCTTTCTCTTTTACCAGACTAGGGAGAAATAAACAAATATAACAACGGGTTTATTTAAAGTTATTTATGCTGGCAAACTCGTCCATCAACATAAAATAAATGTCTGAGAGGAAATAAATATGTCGATAATATAGCAGTTTAAATAAGCATCCATGGATTATCAATCAGTTTCTCTACCTGGGAAATTAAGAAATCTGGTTGTTTGCTAGGATTTCATTTTATTTGTTTATGTTTTTCATGACTACCATAACTTATGACTAGGAACTAAACTTTTCTGCGAATTTAAATATGTGCCATTTTTCGAATAATGGGAATCAGAACAATAGAAATGAAAATAAAGTTGAGTGTTTCTAAGCAAAAATGGATAAATATGCTAGGTCGAAAAACCATGTCATAAATTCACTGAGTTAGTCAATGGAATTATATATGTGGCTGTCAGTTGATTTTATTTTTATGGTAAATTTTTATAGTGTAAATGGACTGAGAGACAAAAAGATGTGGTCCTGTAACTGTCTTAAGCTCGTCCTATGATATTCCCAAGTGTAGCTGTGGCAAAAGGTCTTGTGATAGTACGTGATATGATATGATTCATGTAGTTCTTACCAAAGCATTGATTTTCTAAAGCTCTGTGGAGATATTATAATCTGATGTCTAGTTTACTTAATGTACTCACAACTAACACCTGATCAACTCAGCTGGACAAATAAGTAAACAAAAATTTAATGGAAATCTGTGTTGTTTCTTAACTCATGTGCAGTTATCGCAACACATGAATAGTAATTTTAGTTGTGTGAATAATCTTCTTACTCGCTATAGTTTACCGTTACTTCCATACGACTTACGATTTTGCTCTAGAACGTCATGTGATCTGTTTGATTATTATCAAGATTATGATACACACAGAAAGCAATGATTAAATCTACATACTGTTTCCTTTTTATTTTTTTATTTTTTTATTGTCTGATCACCTCAATCATAAATGATAACCATTCGCACTCACTAGAACTTTATTTTCTATAATAGTACTGTAGTGAACAGAACACGGATGGGGACAATCGAATGTATTTAACACAAAATACAGGACTTGTTAATAAAATCTAACAATCATAAAATAAATGTTCTATCCACTTGTCCCTGTGCTGCCAGACTTTCCGTTCACGACTAACATCATATACTACTTATGCCAATATAAGTAGCACACACCACAGTACTAATCAAAGAAAAGCACAGATAACTAAGGTATTATTTTCCCTGAATTTAAGGGATGTTTGTAACCACATGAATTTTTTTACACATGCATCAGTCTTAATATTTTTGTTCTGTATATATGAAAATGTGATTCTCGTATTTTAAGCGCTTTCTTGATTTAGTGTTTTACCTAATCTGCAGTGATTCAAAATAAAATAATTTAAATGATCACCATTCCGATAGTATTAAAATACTCTAATTTTAACATAGTATGCATTTAAATGGTTCTTCTATAAGAAACGAATAGTGATACCGAATAGTTTATCATATAAGATATTAATTACATTTTATTAATCATAATCACAAACTGGCAATTAGAAACCTTGGAAGCTTCAGTTTTATGGCATCAGTGCTCCCCCTCCCCAGTCTTTAGTTTTTATTACTAATCTCTTTCTTCATAAATTGAAATATATGAGTCTTGCCTATAAATTTTACCGCATACATATTTCAGTCTGCCAATACATTCTTTAACATTATTCGTTACTAGTGACAATATATTGTCTTAAAACTTCAAAAGAAACTTGGAAAACTCGTAGTGTCTTTTCTGAACAAATATTCCTTACTTTTATAATGAAGTGTTTTATATAAACACATAGTTATAGATATTAGGAACACTGACAACAAACGAATAATAATTTGTTTGCAATAAATAACTTCTGTAAATATTCTAATTAACGTATTATTTATATTCCATAAATATAAAACTATGAGTGTTTATTTATTGACTTAATTATTTTTGGTGTCAAAATAACTGTGTGAATATTGTCTGAAATTATCACTTATTACAGATAAAAATATTATATGGTATTATTTGAATTTTTTGTTTGAAACTTAGAAAATTATTCCGGAGCTATAACTCGTTTTTAGGGCCAGTGAAATCTTACTAGACCCTAATCAAATCACTGGATATAGATTAGTTTGCCAATCCTCGTCAAGGACTAGGACAGCCAATGCGCGCCGCTCAGTTGTACTCCATGGACTGGCTCACGAGGTAATGGTCCTACTCGATCTTGTACCTAATCGTACTAATATTGGAAGTAATAACGTTGTTTGTGTTGTACGGTCATCGAAGTAGTCATAGTACCTGTATACGATAAAAGGGTAATCAATAACCGTGAGATGTGACTTCGACGTAAGTTGGTTGGTCGACCCATTTCTGCTAAACTCGAGTAGGCCCTCAATGTAGCTGGATTCTTAATATATAACTGCTAATAAATGATAACAGGAGAATTAATACAGTTTGATTACAGAAATGAACAAGGACACAGATATGATGATACACGAAATAACTAAAAATCTTTTAATGACTCGCCAACCACATTATTTGTCTGGTTTTATGCTGTTGTAATAGATGGATAAATAATTTGAGTCACAACACTATGGTAAGTTGTGTGTAAATTATCTTGCTGTTAAGATTTATTTGCGAGGAATACCTTCCCAACACTTAAAAATCACTTAACTTTTAACCTACTGTCCGTCAGGCAATAATAAGCAGGAAGATAAAGTCGAAGATCATAAAACTTATACAAATAAATTCAAAGACAGAAACTAAGCATGCACATTTCCAAGTATGAAGATAAGGATATTGTTTACAAGGTCGTTCAGATAAAATCTTATAGCGGTTTATAAATCCCCAAAATCAATAGCTCTGTAAGTCTTCGTTATTGGATCCTAACCACATTACTTTTAATTGACTCACCTAGCTGAAGGCGCTCGGTCAAGCATCCACGCCGTGCTCAACATCCCCTGCAATCGCTAGCCAGTCAAGATCAGTCGATCTTCGATATATTGATAGCCTATCAAATATATCTTCGAACCTCCTCGCTTTTATCTTTTGATTTCACTTGGTGGGTACGATTCATACCAGGTGTTACTTGTTAAAGCGTCGTCAAGCTCCAAATACCTGTGGTATCTTCAATCTGAACTGTATGTGATGTCGAATATACACCTCATATTAGTAAAAGCATACTTGCTTGCTTTTGGCGCAATTGGGTAAACACGAATCTCTTTCTAAGTTTGTTCCACATTGAATATCTAATACTTCAAAATTCATTTTACATGTTACCGCGTGGATATGTGAGAAAATCCCTCCATGTATGTTTCTCCCTAAGACATTTCCAAAGTTTTCCTCTTTATGTATAATTTGTTCGATATTTGTTGCTATGTTTCTGTTTGTTTACAAATACCACTATTATAGTAATTACGATCTCTTAGTTTCTATCAACTCTTTGATGTCGCTGGGGTTATCGATTACTACTTCATTGTTTTACTTAGTCTTTTAATATAAGTGGCTGCTATACCGGGTGACTGTATTCTTGAGTGTTGCTGCTTGTTACACTGAAATGACT